GTAGTAGTAGTAGTAGTAGTAGTAGTAGTAGTAGTAGTAGTAGTAGTCATATATCTAGGTCATCTATCCTACTAGTACCTGTAAGAATCGGTCAACCATTATTACTTAAGAAGGCCTTCTTGCCCAGGCCCCGAATAGACACCCTGAGACCACCCGACGGTCAGTCCTGTGGATCGCCCGACGGGGTGGCGATGGCAGAGACCAGACGAACCATTGAAAGGCTCGAGCTCTGTTTAGTCTACAGTACTGTACAACCTTTTTGACCTAGAACCTGAATGACCCCTTCTCAAAACTTCTAAATATGGTTATACAATCCCAATACAGCTTGAAGCCTGAATGACCCAAGCTTGGCCAGGGTATGAGGTGGATCCCGAGTCCGTGAGGACCGAGGAACGTTTGGCGCCGTCCTCAGACGAAATAGACGAAACAGATGCCCCTGTTTGTTCGGTTGCTTTCCACAAGAACTTGGCAAGGACACCAACATGCTTAGCTGCTAGGCACAGACATTTTTCGCCACCTAGCCTGACTCGAGTTGTTGAAGTGGCAATGCTTCGTGCGCGAAGACCGCAACGAGAGTGTGAGGTCTATGCTGGCGCAGGCGGGGTCTCCCGTGGATGCTTCTACCTGTTTTCTTGATTCCAAGGGAACCTGTCCGTTTGGACGGCACATGGGTGTGTCTGAAAATAGGGAGACCTCCCAGGCAACGACCCCCTGGAAGAAAGAAAGGGATAGATAGATCCCGAACCGGTTGGAGGTCTCCCTATCAAATACACACCCACCTGTCGGATGAATCGGATTGAGCCGGGCGGTGGTTGTCAGGCCGAGGCAGCTATCAGCAGGTCAACAGCATGGAGATGGTGGGCCCGGGGTACAGCTGGCATGTCTTTTGGGCGCAAAAAGCGAGGACATGGCGTGGCAGAAGAGTGAAGATTCTTCAATTGGCATCAATTCACCACAGAGAAGATTCGTAGCACCTTAAACCCATGGTTCTTAGTGCCTCAAAACACACAGACATGCACAGACTGTTGCTCGATTTGGTCCACCATCCACACCTTTGGGCCCGTTGCGGCGGCAAAAACAGACAAAAGCCTGGCAGTGAGCCACTTTCTCCCGGGCCAAGAGCCATGAAAGCCGATGCCGGTTCTTTGGGGGTTCCATCCACTTTCGCTTTGGGACCGGGAGAGTGGCTGCTCGCATGTGCAGCTGCCAAAAGGTCTACCTACTTCACGTGCTAGAGGTCTAAGAGGTGAAGGGAGGTACTTAAGTGTGCGGGGGATATATACTTCTTCCACTTTTGAAGGGCTCCAGACTCCCTGCACCCACCGTCCGACGCGGTCAACCGAAACACGCGCGGTAAAAGCGCCACTGGACCGGATGTCAGGAGGGGTGACTTTGAGAAAGAGACCGTGGTCGTTTCCTCAGGCATGGTTGGTTCTTTTGGGTGACCCTTCTCTTTTCTTTTTTCGAAGAATGGATTGCGATTCACTTGAATGTGCACATGGCTTGGGCTTCAAGCTACAACTCAAGTTTAAAAGACCAGTTTTGCTTCTTTGTGACGGACGTCACCCAGTCACCTGGGCCGATGGATCTGTGCCACTTGGTGTTTTGGCCGGGTAAACATCCTCGTGACTTGGTTTGGTGAGTCCCACAGACTTGAGATCACTCAGACGCTATACGGGTCACAACGTGTCGAGGGCAGGTCCATGCTAGGACCGCGCTAGGAAGCACCGCGTGTCTCGTGTGGCACCAATGATGCCAGAAAAGAATGCATACCACATCCACCATAAGCCTGTATCACATACCTTGGGTGAAAACTCCGTGAGTTGGCCATGCATCGGTCTGCATCGGTCTGCACGCTGCTTTGTCCTCGGTGATCTTCCGGTCTTCATGGACCATGCCAATAGATTGAAGAAGAATATAGAGACATTCCTTGACTGCCAAACAAGAACATTTCCCGATGGTAGATTGAAGATTGCATTGATGGGTGTTGATCAACTTGGACATCAGAACGAAGCAAGCTCCCTCCTCAGCGCTATCGTCCAGTCTCAGCGCTATCGTGCCAGGAATGAGGCGCAGCCAGAGCTGGGAGGGCGGAGCGGCGGAGCCAGAGAACGGAACCGTGCATGATGCACAGAGGAAGATTAAGATATACCAGTGATCATGCTTGGTTGAAGGTTGCATGTCAGGATATATGATGACAACCCCCAGAACACGTTGCGACTCGTGTTCCTTAGTTTTGCCTTGATCGAAACAAAGAATGGATGGCACCTAACCCCCCAACTCCCAACATCCAAGCAAGCTCCCAACATCCAACCATCGTGCTTGATTTGGAGTCCAACATGTGCACGCCAGGAGTCATGGTCGTATGAACATGTATGGAACTGCCAGGCTGAGTGGAGCCGCCATTGGAGGTGGCTGCTGCCTCCTCCTCACGGTGGTCTTCTTGCTGATTGGCTTTCTCAACAATTGGTGGCAGTGATGGCCTCAGGAAAATTGATGTGCAGAGTGGGGGGGGGCCTATTGAAACTTCATGATATTCGAATATATTCGATGTGTTTTTATTTATTACTGCTCTTTCTCTGTACAGACTTAGTGCGTGTCGGCCTCTAGCCGGTGCCTCTTCGCTTAAGAAAGGACTAGGTGTGCATTCATTGAGACTCGCGGAGTGCCTCCTGGAGACATGTCAGACATAGACTCCTGGACGGTCGTTCTCGCAGGTTCTTTTTCGATGGGAGCAGGGGCCACTTTCACCGTTTCGTGGAATTGTCGGTTGGCCGAAAAGCAGAAACTCGAGCCGTTTTGTTCGAACCCCGCTCAGGGACACCCGAGACTCGTTTTGTTGAGTTAGTGATGTTTGAAGTCCCTATCTCCTCATTCGGGACGTCGCCCAGCACCCACCCTGCGGTGTGTTGGCCGACTGAGGGCAGTTGGGGCGGCACCAGTCAGTGCACCTCGTGCTAAGCAGATCAGAGCATGTATTTTTTTGGGGTGGCTCAGTAACAAGCTGTTGTCGAGATGTTCCGAACCTTGAAAAGAGCATGAGACTTCGTGCCTCACAGATGGGTGGAAAGCGAAGCAGGTGTAAACAACGCAGATATATATGCATGCATGCAGATATTATATAGTTGCCGAACCGATCTAATTGAGCTACCTGTTGCAGACTAACAGACAGGCTAACAGATAGACTAACAGTGACTAACATGCAACAAACGCTTGCTTTCCAGGACACTCCACACCGAGGGCTGGGTTTTTGGGGATTGACTGAGGAGACGTGCGAGCTGATGACCATGGCGGC